CTGTCTATCATTTTATAGTCTAGAAACTTGGCAACCACGAACTTCTTCAAGCATGCATCTTCCGTCTTGTACTTCTTTTCAAGTACATCCCATAATTCTTTCGAAGTATTCATCGCACTGTACACATTCTACAAGTCATCCTCTAAAGCGCTTAATATATAGCCTTTGCAAAGAAAATCTACCTGCTTCCACGCCTCAACAATCATGAACTTCTCATTGTCCGGCATGTCCGCAGTAGGCACTGGGGGCTCTTCACTAGTGAATTTCTGCATACCAAGCGTGGTAAGCTAGAAGAACACCTTTTGTTGCCATCCTTTGAAGTTGGCTCCAGAAAATTTCCCCGGTTTCTCGGCCGGAGGAACAGCAGTGCGGCTTGACGAGGCTATCGTCGTTGCAGCAACAGTCGCAGAAGAATTTCCGTTATCAATTGCCATTTCTCACTGTCAACAACAAAATAGTTCAATTAATGGCAAATCCAGAATAGTAAACAATACTATATTCAGTAAACAGTACGTAAAAAGTGAAGTTTTTATATACTGTAACACAGAAAATGATAAAGTTTTATGTTCTTCAAATCGTTATCTAAATTTAAATATTCTGATGAAGTTTTTATATCTTCAAATCAGAATAGTAAAATTCAGACAGAGTAGAAAACCACAAAGGTTTTAATCTCCACAAACAGAATACAGAATATAATAAATTAATTTTCTTAAGATTGTTATCAAAACTATATTGCTGTAAAATAAAATAATAAACTTTATGAAAAAAAACAGAAACAGAAAGTTAGTAGAACTAGAACGTCAAAATATATTCTGGAAACAGTATAGGAACTTCAAAATAAATTCTGAAAATAGTATAGGAATAAATCGAGTCCACTGAATACACAGTGTGTCCTTAAGGAAATTATTCCCTTCAAATACTCGAGGTTCTGGAATATATCCTCCCAGTATAGAATGATTTAACTCACCAGCATATCGGTACCAAAAACGCAGATGAACAGCGAACCACTCGAAGGCTGTGAAACACACTGAAATTTTTGTGCAAAAGAAAAGATAATCAGAAAATTTCGTAAGTAAATATTCTGGGATTTGAAGGAATATTTATAGCCAATTTGGTACTGTTCCTGAAAAGGTTTGCGACCTTGCAGAACAGTCATAGCTGTTGGAACAGGTTTGACACTATTTCAGAACAGCCATAGCTGTTGGAAATATTGCGGGAAAAATAAACGGATTTAAAATAATCCGAGAAAGAAAACGGACCGGACCGGTGCGCGAGTCATGGGTTATTCCGGATTGAATTTTCGTTAATTAATTAAATTAATTATTTGAAAAGAATTTTGTCCAAAAAGATTAATCAATCAATCTTTGACCGAATCCGAATCCGTATCGAGCGAGCGACGACGGCGACGGCGGCGGCGCGAGGCTTGCCTTCTTCTTAACTCTTTAAGAGCTAAAAGATGAGCTTCTCTATATATACACAAAGATTTTCTTTCCTTCTACCAATGAAGAACAAAGTGCATTAGTAAAGTGAACTCATTCAAAATTTCACTTCCCTCCATTTCTTTTCCCACCATTTTCCATTCACACCTCTTTTGTTATTAATAACAAAATCCAACACCTAATTGTAGAAACTTTAAAGAAAGTAATTGCAAATATATAGTATAATATAGAGAAGGGGAGCCTTGGGGTAAAGTTACTTCCATGTGATTAGGAGGCCACGTGTTTGAGCTGTGAAAACAATACCTCTTGTAAAAATGCATGGTAAGGTCATGTATAATAAATCCTTGTGATCCGGTCTTTCCTCGGACCCCGGGCATAGCAGGAGCTTTTTTTTTTTTTAACCATAAAAATATCTAATAACTCTCAAACACAAAATTGAACAGTTACAAGTCGAAAATGATGGTCCTAAGCAACAGGCCAGAATGAAATTGATATTATATGATTGTCATATATTATTTTTATCAAACAGCAAATGCAGCATACTGCTCTCTATCAGTGATGTGCCTTAGCTTCAGCCTTTTGGTGAGACTTGGCCTTAGCCCTAAGATACTTGAGCTTCATGCTACCATAGACAAGTCCGAATGTGAATGCCGAGGTACGAGCCACCAGAGCAAGGGTGCTGGTACCAGAGTAAGGTCCGGAAGGGGCGCCATTGTTGACTTGCAAAGTAGAGCTTCCTCAAGATCTCTTTTCAAGCCCTAGATTTTTCACAAACCCTGAAAGGCATAGCAGGAGCTAGTGCACCGGGCTGTTTTTTTTTTTTTTTAAATAGTAGAATATAAAAAGGGACATCATGCTCAAATCTGCGAGGCGGTCAAGCATATTTTAGAATAAAATTTTCATTTCTCGACCAGGCCGGTATGTTCCAGCTTGTATTAAACATAACCATTTATGCATGTCTCCTCAGCTCGTGTAATGTTCCATGAGCTGTTGCTCCAGCACAAGTTGGTAATTTAGGTTATCGCTTCGGTTTCATTCTTTTACATTATTGAAGGAGCCACTGAAGACCTTAACTAGAAAATAGGCAAATATCATGAACAAGTATCGAACATGTTTTTCTTCATTTTATTTGAAAGAATCAATTTCTCAGTTTCTCATGATACACAAGAGTCTTAAATTAAAGGAGGTTGACGGGACTTTTAATTGGGGTACTACTGACATGCATTATACATGTAAAATAAAAGAAAAAGAAACAGGAAACTTTTGTTAATTACTAAAGGAATAAAAATAATAGGTTGACATTAGGAGTGCCACAAATAGAAACGCGGATTGGTTTCTTAAAGGGATAAATAAGGAAGAACGTTGACTAAAAAAGCTTCTTGTTGAAGACATTGAATGCAAGGGAGTTGTAAAAGGAAATGATAAGTAGGGATGGGGGAACACCTCTAATTCTGACAGCCAACAGAGAAGTAGGGATGTTTCCTGTAGTATTATTGCTCCTCGAGAACAATGCAGCAACTTGGTTTTCTCAACTAGTTGACTTCAATTCCTAACCAGCAACCACCTTTTATTATAACCGTGTTGTCCAAGTTTAAGGAGATTAGAAAAATTTAACTAAAAAATTCTTGACTTTTACTATACATCTTTTATTTTCTCACAAACAAGTGAAATGACTCTATCTCTATACTTGTACTCCTGCTCAAACTACCCCATTTTGACCAAAACCAACTTGGATCGCCTTTTTACTCCTTGTCAAAAGCGGATCTAGAATTTAAGTTTTATAGGTTTAACTTCTAAAGTTTTTAGTATTGAACTCATCATCTTTTTAAAGTTATGGGTTCATATTGCAATATTAACAAATTTTTTACATACAAATTTATGCTCCGCGTCAACAGGGGCGGCCCGACGAGTTTTGTGGTCTAAAGCCAAACTTTATAAGGGGCCTTAACTTTTTTTTAAAAAAAAATTATTTATTTTTTTGAAGTCTATTTTTCTAGCGTTCCTTAGATACAAAGTTATTAATAATTTTTTTATAATCAATAACTTCTAATAAGTCTTTCTTAATTGACAATATAGCTAATCAATTTAACCTTTATTGTGACATTGTTGATCTTAGATGAGATTTTATCAATTTTAATTTTGAAAATTCTTTTTGCTGAAACGACGGAAACAAGAGTTATTAAAATTATTCTATAAGTATTACAGACATTGAAAAAAGAATCAAATTTTTTTATTTGACCGAGTGCATCAATTAAACTGTTATCTTCTAATTGTACTATTTTCTTAATATTTTTAATTCTGAAAATAAATCTAAACCATCACTATCGAATTGATTATTATGCTTTAAGGAACATTCAACACTAAGGCAATATTTTTTCAAATTTTCATCATCTAGTGATTTTAATTTTTACCGCTAAATAGAAAACCAAAAATATTTTCATATGCTTCGAATTGTTCAAATCTATTTTGAAGTTAAAAAAATAGCCTTGTGTACTATGTATAAAGTAATCAACTCCAAAGTACTCGTCGAAAGATTTTGAAATTTTATTATCAACATTCTCATCAAATTGTTATTTCCTATATATCATACAGTTCTTACGAAATTCGGGTTCGATATTCATTTCAAATACAATTTTCTTGGCAGAAATCATAGCAGTTTCAAATCCTTCATCTCAATACTTGTTGAAGAAAGAAATCAAACTTTTTCATATCGCAAAACCTTTTTTATAACGTATACACAGTCTATTAGGTGTAAAAACAAATGGGGCCCCCAAAAATATGGGGTCTAAATCAGTTGCTTTACTTGCTTTATGGAAGGGTCGCCCTGCGCGTCAAAAGCATTAGTTCAGTTTAACTTAGTGCCGATACACTGCATCTGCCTCGGCTCATTGCTAAGGACCAACTTGCATAGCAGAACTTGCTACGTATCTTCCCATGGCCGTGGCTAAGCTAGTCAGAGACATCACATGATTATTTAACTTATATTCACTAATAATATAATAAAAAATTATACTATCAATGAAATTTATTTGCTGCAGAAGGTTATTTGCCTTATTTTTACAAGTTATTATATTTATTTATTATGAATAAATACCTGAGCTGAGAGTGATCAGTATTTAAAAGTTAAACTTATATATGAAACAAAAAACAGTGATGTAGGTAGCCGTTGAATTCAAGTCAATAGAAAAGTATAGCGACAATTACAAGTCAACAATAACACTGTGTAGAGAAGTTTTATTGTGTGTTCTCACACAACTTATGAGTCTCCTTTTTGTCTCACAAATTTGTGGACCCAATCTTACATTTCTAGTCCACAAAAATCTGGGTCCACAAAACTGTGAGACACAAAATAAAATTTTCCCACTGTGTAGGTTTACTTGATATTGCATCGTACCTGATTTGCATTTATTAAAACGTTAAGACCTATTCAACTTCAAGATTTGGTATATTCAATATTACTGCAATGTAAATTAGTTGGGACGACGTTTTCCAATATTATATTGCCTCATGCAAACATTTGGCTCTCCCAATATAATCCCCTTCAACATAACATGTTGATTATCTATCTCCACAACCCTAATTTCATTCTCAATATAGCTTTTATGGAGCTTCCAAAACTTGTCTCTCTTTTAATCTTCTTTACTATAGAATCTCTACTTATTCTGCTAAAGGCAGAACTCAACACCTTTCATGTTGTGGTCGTTATGTGCTATTTCTTCTTTTTCATCTTCAAATCAAGGCCTTTACCAGTATACTTAGTCGATTATTCATGTCTAAAGCCACCAAATTCCTGTAGAGTTCCCCACGCAACCTTCATCGAACATGCTCAAATGCTGGATTTTTTGGATAAAGAGAGCATAAATTTCATGTCTAAAGTCCTTAGTCATTCAGGACAAAGTGAAGAAACATATTTACCTCCTGCAATTCATTATATTCCACCTAAATCAGACCATCAAGAAGCCATAGAAGAAGTCCACATGTCACTCTTCACTGTATTTGAAGACCTTTTAGCCAAAACCAATCTCTCCCCACAAGATATCGATGTTTTAATCGTTAATTGCAGTGGATTTTGCCCTGCTCCCTCGCTTTCATCCATAATTGTGAACAAGTTTTCCATGAGAGAAGACATCAAAAGTTATACAATTAGTGGCATGGGTTGTAGTGCTAGTGCATTAGCTATTGACATGGCTCAAAACATACTGAAAACTCACAAGAACTCCAATGCTGTTATTCTTAGTACAGAAATCTTATCCACAGGTTGGTATCCTGGAAAAGAACCATCAATGTTAGTTCTTAATTGTCTTTTTCGTATGGGTGGTGCTGCGATTTTAATTTCCAACAAAAAAGAAGCGAAAAAGACAGCAAAATACAAGCTTCTTAATACTCTAAGAAGTCAAAGATCATTTGATGATAAGGCCTATTTTTCTGCATATCGTGAAGAGGACTCGAATGGATTTACTGGGGTTACACTTAAGAGGGACTTATTGCAAACTGCAGGAGAAACTCTTCGAACAAACATAACGACTCTCGGTTCGCAAATGCTGCCTTACACCGAGAAAATATGGTTCGGTGTTTCAGTTTTGAGAAAGATGTTTATAGACAAATCGACTGAGATTTACGTGCCTAATTTTAAGTCAGTGATACAACATTTTTGCTTGCCAACATCAGGAAAGCCAGTGATAAAGGAAATGGGAAAAGGGTTAAAACTTGGAGAGAGTGATATGGAGCCTGCTTTAATGACATTACATAGATTTGGGAACCAATCTTCTTCTTCATTGTGGTATGAATTGGCATACATAGAGGCTAAGGAAAGGGTGAAAAAAGGTGACAAAATATGGCTGCTTGGGATGGGAACTGGGACTAAGTGCACTAGTCTAATTTGGGAATGCAATAGGCCCATTTATGGGGAAGCCCAAAGAGGTCCATGGGCTGAGACAATTGATAGATATCCCTTAACCATGTGAATTGATGGGAGGCCCAAGTACATTATACATGGGCTATAGTCAAATTTCTGATAAGCAATGCATATTGACCCCTTTTTTTCTTTTCTTTCTTTTTGTTGGCAAGTGTATTTAGTTTTGTATTTTGGCTTCTGTTTTTGTTACCTTAGGGTTCTTTTGGTTATGAAACAAATTATTCCAGAATTAACTATTTAGGGATTATTATTTCAGGATTAGTATTCTGGAATTAATTATCTCGGGATTATTATCCCACCCTCCCATAGGGATAAAGAAAAATACTACAATTCCAGAATAATTAATCTCGGGATTAGTTATACCGTCATTTTATCTCAACCAAACTTGAGGTAAACTCATCTCAAATTTAATGCTGTGTTTTAATTATCCCTTCTCCCACATATCAAACGAGCCCTTAGAATAGAGCCAACTTTTCCTCAATGTGTTATGCCAAAAACTGAATTTTTGGAGTGTATCCTTGGTTTTGGGAATGATGGCTTGCCTTTGAGTAGATTGGCGAGTAGATAAGTGCATGAAAGTTGAAGCAATGATAACCCTAACTCCTGAACCCAGAAAAGGTTAAATGTGAATTTATTTGGTATTACTTAGGATCTTATTTGAATTTAAAAAAGAGCACAACCAAAAAAATCTTGTAAATGGTCAAGATCTGAATTTATTATTTTGATTCGTTTATCCAAGTAAAGACGTTTGCTTTCTTCCCTAAGTTAAGACATTATTGTTTGGATCTTGTCAAGGTTGATAAAAATTGCATTCTTGGAAGTTCTTGGATCTTTCCTTTGAATTTTTATATTTTTAATTTTTGTATCTTTAATTCTAGTTATGCAATTTTCTTATAGTTATTGCTTCCGCATTTACTTTTCAAATTCTTACTCTAGTTTGATTTTTTTACCTTATTGTTATCAAGTGGTCACCTTTATAAGTCTCATTTGAAAATAAAATTAAGTTGATATCGACTTTCATCGAATATCCTATCCTGACTTTATGTTTAGTGCCCGTTACATAATTAATCAATCTTGGGAAAAGCGTTCCTAAAGCTAGCTAAATCCAAGACCTAACACCAACATCCTTTTAACTTATACGTGCATAAATAATAAAAATTAATCGTTCTATAATTCTCATTATTAAAATGTGGGTTTATACTGGAGAATGAAATGGTAACTTATTACTTACTAGAGTTGTTACTTGTTATTTTGTTTAAGTTCAACATGTTTTCCTTCCTACAAGGGGACGCTAGCATTATGTGGACGGCGATGACGGACTGTATAAGGGAGGCAGCAAGAGAGGTGTTGGGAGTTTCGAAAGGTTACTCTGGCGGGCACCGAGGCGACTGGTGGGGGAATGACGTAGACCAAGGTAAAGTGGAAGCCAAGAAAGCGGCTTACATTAAGTTAGTAGCGAGCACCGACGAGGATCAGAGGAGAGCAAATAGAGAAAGATATAAGGAGGCTAGGAAGGAGGCGAAATTAGCGGTCACAGAGGCTAAGACTGCTGCTTTTGGTCGGCTTTATGAGGAACTTGGGGGCAAAGGTGGGGACAAGAAGTTATTTCGGTTGGCTAAAGCGAGAGAGAAGAAGGCTCGCGACCTGGATCAAGTGAGGTGCATCAAAGACAAGGACAGTCGAGTATTGATGGAAGAGGCCCAGATTAGGCAAAGATGGCAGTCGTACTTTCATAAACTTCTGAATGAAGAGGGGGATGGAAACATCGTGTTAGGGCAATTGGGGCACTCCGAGAGTCACCGAGACTTTAGGTATTGTAGGCGCATTAAGGTTGAGGAGGTCGTGGGTGCGATGGGTAAGATGAGTCGGGGCAAAGCGACTGGACCAGACGAGATTCCAGTAGAGTTTTGGAGATATGCGGGTAGGGCAGGCTGGGAGTGGCTGACTAGGTTGTTTAATGTTATCTTCAGGACAAACCGGATGCCTGATGAGTGGCGATGGAGTACAATAGTTCCGGTGTACAAGAACGAAGGGGATATCCATAATTGTAACAATTATAGGGGTATCAAGTTACTAAGTCATACCATGAAAGTTTGGGAGAGGGTGGTGGAAGGGAGGATAAGGAGGGGAGTGTCTATATCGGAAAACCAGTTTGGGTTCATGCCAAGTCATTCTACTATGGAAGCTATCCACCTTATCAGGAGGTTGGTGGAACTATACCGGGATTGGAAGAGGGATTTGCATATGGTGTTTATTGACCTAGAGAAGGCATATGACAAGGTCCCTAGGGACGTCCTTTGGAGGTGTTTGGAGGTGAAAGGTGTGCCGGTGGCTTACATTAGGGCCATAAAGGATGTGTATGATAGAGTGATGATAGGCTATAATTGCATATTTTAGTCGCTTATTACACTCGAATTTAATGCACTTTAATTGAGTTTGCGCTTTAATCGCTAGTGTTTTGCACTAATTGTGTGTTTTATGCCTTGTAGGTGTGATTCCGAGCTATATAGATGTTATGGAATGAATTTAAGTGATTTGAAGCTTTGAAGTCTGAGTAAAAGCTCAAGGAATTAAGCCGGGATCGTGTTCGGAGGTCAAATTTTAT